AAATCTAGCACCAGGCCATTAGCTTTGAATGTTGTGTCATTTCAAGTGCTCATCCAAGTAGTTTCATCCATTTTAACTCTGGATCTTTGCTCACTGTCATAGTGCTTACTTACTTTAATCCAAGCTGGATGCTAACAGCACCCCTGCCTTGCATTGTCTTGACTTGCCTTTTGCACTTTTCCCTCAGTCAAAAATACCAGGCCATGTTTGCCTTGTCATTGAGAAGAGACAAAGGTAGGAAACTTGTCATAGTTGTCACCTTCTCACCTCTTCTGGGCTGATTTCATCATAGAAGGGAATTGGTTGGTTCAGTTGACTGGACAGCAGGTTTGCGATGTGAGTGACACCAACATGTGGGTTCAATTCCTGCACTGGCTCAGGTTACCATGAAGGACTCTCCTTCTCAACCTCTCCCCTCAGCTTAGGCATAGTGAGCCTCAGGTTAAACCACCACCCTTCATCTCTCTCTAATGGGAGAGTAGCTCTATGGTCCGGTAAGATAACGGTGACTTTACCTGACCTTTCAGAATGAAAGATAGGCAGGTTGTACAAATGAATAAAAAAAAATGAGGGGCACAGCTATTAGTTTTGATTCAAGTGAGGATGGGTCATGAGTGAGTGAGTAGATGGTGCAGACAGCATACAGGGTTAGTGGTTTCTGGGGTTGGAGTGAGGGACAGGGAGTGAGGGAAGATGATGCAGGTAATAGTGAGAGTGATAGAGCATGAGCTTCAGTGGGAGCTGGGTGCATTAGCAGGGACAAATGTGTATGAGGTATCAGAGAGAAGATGGTGGAACTTATTCCGGTGGAGTGAAGCTTCGTCTGATGTTGCTGAGCATTCCTCCAAATATCTGGGAGCACTTTAAGGTGGCAACCTTAGACCGGAGTGGCATGGTCTGATGTCATGGCCTCCACTGCTGGCTCTGGAAGTCCTGTGTTGGCATCACCTAATCCAGCAGGTCCTCCAGGACCCTGCCCACAAAGCAAGTTGCTGAAATCCCCCATGTCAAGAACAGTGCAGAGCTCCTCTGGACTGGCAGTGGTCTGGGTGCACAACGGGCTTTTAAAGATGGCTCAGGCACAAGGGGTATCAGCGAATTCTGGGATATCCGGTGAGTGGCAAATTGTTCTGGGCATGGTGCATGTAAAATGGGGTGGAAATTGGATGTGGAGTGGGGTGGGGTAGGCAATTAATGAAGTGAATTTGGTAAGATGGAGCGAGAAAACACCCGAGGCCACACAGTAGGAAACCCTCCAAAAACTTCGCATAACTTTGGCTTAGCCAAAAAAAGGTCAAATTCGGCCCATTAAGTCTTTTTCTCTCCACACATGCTGCTTGACCTGCTGAGTTTCTCCAGCTTTTGTTTTCTTATTTCAGATTTCCAGTATTTGCAGTATTTTGCTTTTAATTGAGTTTCAGACAGTCTTTAATTGGTCACTGTCCACCCCCAGGCACTTGACAGGCTTTGGTCTTAGCAGGGGTCCTGTTCTGGGCGTATCTCCAACGTACAATACGGCACTTTGATATTCAAATTGTCTGCATGCCAACGTTGGGGTGGTAGCTACTGCCTTTGATGAGCCACCACCACCAAGATCATTCAGTCATATCAAACTTTCCTCTTGGTCATTCCTCCAGCCCACCACTGTGGCACCAGAAAGATCCTACTCTCTGGCAGCATATACACATTATCTCTGCACCAACAGCAATGTTGCACTGAACCTTCATGATTTGTAATCTGTATTATTTATAATTCTGATAGCCAAGTCTTCCATTCTGCAACTCCATCACATTTGAAAGTGTTAGATTTGGCAGTGACGTATGAAAGGAGTGAACAAGTCAATTTGCATCGATTGTTTTAAATACTTAAAACACCAACAAATAACATTCTAGGCAGGATGGAGTTATTTTCTCTCTTTTCCTTACCTATGATCATGTAATTTGTTTCTCTTTCCAATTATTATCTTTGACCAAGCTGCAAGTAAATATACGTTTTGCAATAAGACACGTTCAAATACTGTATAATGGAAGTTTTAGGTGCAAGTCAGACTGTTCTATTTGTTTCTTTTGATAACTCTAAATAAAATCTTTATGTACAGACGTACTTTCTGTTCATCATATTCCAGACATCCCATTTTTTATGTCTCATCTCAGCTATCATATTGTGAAATGCAATATCCACGTGCAACTGACCAATCATAATTTAGGTAGGCATCAATTTATTCAAATTGGAAAGGTGAGTATTGATAATTAAAGGTATCATTAGAATTAATGCCTTAAAAATATCCAATGACACCATCTCCTGAGGCAGAATTCCAAAGTCACACAAACGTCTGAGATGGAAAAGAAAAATCACCTTGTTTACATTCTAAAAGGGTGACAGCCAATTTTAAAACAGTGCCCCCTAGTTTTGGACTCAGCCACCAGAGAAAACATATTTTCCACATCCACCCTGTCAATACCATTCAGAATCTTATAAGCTTCAATCAAATTACTCCTCAATCTTCTGAAATCAAGTTGAAACAAACCTAACCTACCTGATCTTTCCTTATGAGAGTTACTGCGCACAGGATTCAAGATGTGGTCTCACCAACACACTGTACAACTGAAGTACAACCTCCTTACTTTTACATTCAATTTCTCTTATTATGATGTCTAAAGATGTGCAAGTTAGGTGGATTGGCCAAGTGAAATTACCCATAGTGTTCAGGGATGTGTAGGTTGGGTGCATTAGCCATGGGAAATGCAGGGTTACAGGGATAGGGTAGGGTGATGGGTCTGGTTGGGATGCTCTTTGGAGGGTTGGTGTAGACTTGTTGGGTCATATGATCTGTTTCCACACTGTAGGGATTCTATGATTCTATGACAATAAAGCATAGCATTCATCGGACTTCTTAATTACCTGCATACCAATATTTTGTGACACAAATACCTGGATCATTCTCCAACTCAGAAATTTGCAATTGCTCTCTATTTAAGCAATACTCTGTTTTTCCATTCTTCCTGCTAAAGTGAAAAACTTTGCATTTTCCCACAATATACTCCATGAGCCCAGAATTTTGCTCTACTCACTCAACCAATCTATATTAGCCTGCATATCATTTTGACAATTCATTTTCTACCTATCTATGTGTCACCTGCAAATTTAGTCTCTTCAATCCCTCATCTAAATGATTGATACATTGTAAAAAATTGAGGGCCTGGCACAAACTCCGGTAGAAACACCCTCGTCGTATTGTTCCAATCTGAATAAAACCCACTTATGGATACTCTCTGCTGAATATGCAGCAAATTACGACATATCTGCAATCCTGTCTTCATCTTACCTCCAGCAGCTGGTAGTGGTTTATTTTGTCTCAAATCCTCCTTTCATTGCTCCTTCAAACCAAGGGGGACTGCTAGGAATGTCCCTATGACCAACCTCTCCCTATCTCCTATGAACTTATGCAAGGTCTCCAAGAAAGAATTGTTACACAGCATTCATTTTCTCAGAGAATTTCCAGAATAAATGTCACAACTTTGATATGTACCAGAAGGTCTCTTGACATGTACCAAAAAATCCACTTCATACAGTATAATTGGTCAACCAATCAGCAAGCAAAGATTGAAAGCTGGGTATGGCTCTACGTAAAGTTAGCAAACCTCAGGACTGACTTCTTTATCTGTTCAGTTATTCACTGTTAGAAGAAGTCATAAACTCCTGAGCTACCTAGCAAAATTGAATGCTGCTTAATTAACAAGTGCTAGAAAAAAATTACCTAGTCATAGAGAGTTAAGCAACTTTGGGGCAATCATTTCTAAAGCATCCTTAAAATCTTTTCCTAACATGACATCTTGACCTCAAGACTGCATATTGGCTACCTTGTAGATTCTTTGAACCATGAGACTATAAGCTGGAGGAGCAGAGGTAGGCAATTTGGTCCACTGAGTCTATGCTGCCATTCAATGAGATCATATCTGATCTGATACAACTCAAAGGCACTTTCACGTCTTATTCCCATAACCCCTGATTCCCTACTGATTAAAAATCTATCTATCTCAGACTTGTATATAGTCAACAACCCAGCCATGACAACCCTGTACAGTAAAGAATTCCACATATTCACTACCCTCCGATTGAAGAAATTGCTTTTCATTTCTGACACCCCCACATGCGAAGCAACCTCTCTGCATCTACCTTGTTAAGCCCCCTAAGAATGTTTCTTATATATTTCAACAAGGTTTCCTCTCATTTGTTGAAACTCCAATGAGTTCAGGCCCAATCAACTCAACCTTCCCTGATAAGAAAAATCCTTCCATACTCAGGATCAACTGAGTGAACACTTTCTGATGCCTCCAATGCCAATAAATCTCTCCTTAGATAAAGGATGTAAAACCGTTCACAGTATTCTAGATGTGGTGTAAGCAATGCCTTGCAGTTTTAGCAATACTTTCCCGTTTTTATATTCCATTTCCATTGAAATAAAGACCAACATTATATTTACCTCCCCTTATTATCCACTAAACTTGGGTGCTAGCTTTTTGTGATTTTTCCACCTTCAGTACCTAGGAAGGAAGAATCAACTGACCTCTGGATATGTCTGGTTCAATAACAGCAGGTCACAGTCCAGTACCTTGCCTAAGCAACCTTTACTCATGTACAACAAACAGCAGCATGACATGTTATTTAATTGAGAAGAGCATAATGACTTAGCCTGCTGGCCTCTCAAGTGCCTACATGGCTCTTCATCTGAGCAGTCTTCCCTGCAAAGGGTTACGTGGGCCTGATCAGTGGAAAATCGAAGGGTCTCCAAGCTCATATTCCTAATTTACACTCCAGTGGGTAATGCCTTACACCAGGAATGCAACTTTGGAAAACCTGCCATATTATTTGTGATCTAAACCCCAAATATGATTGCTCAAGCACTCATCTCATGTTGTAAATTTGTATTATTCATTTGCGGATAGTACAGCGATTTATCTAAAGGCTGTAAGTTATAGTTAGTTATAAGTTATACTTACAGTGTTAGAGATTCATTGTTCATGCCTAGAAATGCATTTTCTGGTATGGTTTGAAGGTGCAAATTGTCACATATTTCCCTGAAAATAAATATGTAAATTTTATCCAAAAGAATATTAAAGCACTGTAATTAACACTATTACGTTAATCTATGGTTGCAAACAACTTTTACTGCTGGGTGGAATGATGATTAACATCAGTTAGAAATCGACATACATAAATCATCAATTAAAAGAACACAACGCTTGGGTGTAGGTTTTAAGTTTCCTACTCCGTCTTTCTCCTTCTTATCCTAAAGGTGATTAATCCTTTTGTTTTGTTTATCCACTTGTGGGACATGAGTGTGACTGGCTGGCCAGAATTGCCTGTCCCTAGTTGCCCTTGTGAAGGTTGTGGTGAGCTGTCTTTTTGAACCACTGCAATCCCTGTGCTGTAGATAGATCCACATTGCCCTCAGGGAAAGAATTCTAGGATTTTGACCCAATATAGGGATGTCCTGGAGCTGAGATGACTGACATATTGCAAAGCCATTAAAAAAACCCCATTAGCGTGGTAAGTTAAACAGCCAAGCATTGTTCATCTTTTACCTGTAGGTTCACCAGACTGTTGCTAAAAAGGATAAGTGCAACTGCAATTTAAAAGAAAAGATGCATTGAAGCTTCAAAGTCGTTCATCTGCTCACCCAGGTGCCAGTGCTATTGAGTATGCAAACAGATGCAGACATTGAAATTGGTGGCAAAGGGTATTCATTTTCCTGTGACTGCCACAAGTTTATGTAGAGCAGTGTAAGTCACTGAGAAAATATCATCAACCAATTGGCTTTTAGTATCTAACAGCAATTGTCTACGGCTTAAAGAAGGCATTATTAGGTTGATAAAGCAGGTGTTCCTTGACCAGTTTGTGTAAGTTTAATGCCGAGGCCTCTTTGGGATGTCTCCAATAAGTTCCAGAATTCTCACTGAGCATTTTAGGAAACAGGTAAAATCAGTTGAGTTGGTGGAGAAGGTGAAGGACAGGCATGGATTGTAAGAAAGGATATGATCTTGGGGAATGCCTTTGAATAGGTCAACAGCATGTTAGAGGGTATTTTTTGGGAATACAAAGGTCAATACCAATCCCTCCAGGGCATATCAAAAGAAATTAAAAACTTACCTTGAAGTTTCCAACAGTCCTACAAAGGACCATTTTTTATACTGTCAGTGCCTGGTACAAATTGGCAGAATGTACATAGCCTATGCTCCAGCTATTTGCACCTGGAGATCTGTTTGGAGCCTTAGCACAATGACCCAGTTTTGCATGTTCAAATACCCTGCTGCCTGGCTCAGGCAGGTGGGCTGCTTGCACATTACAAGATTGCATGAAAAGTGCATCAAACAAATCTTGGGTTTTGATGCAGGGAGAAGTGCTACCCTTCTTTCACCCGATGAATTTTCAATTTCTGACCGCCCCATTTGTCTGACAAAATGCAATCAGCCAGTAGTTGAAAATTAACTCCCCACCAGTTTTAATGTGCATGCTGGATGCACAGTTAATATACATCAGAGAAGTTGGCTAGTTTGGCTTTCTGGTGCATATTTCAACACTTAACAACATAGTTAGATTTAACAATGTGATAATGTGATGCTTGCTTTTTTATTTCACTCTTTTACTGTAGTTCATTCTCTGGATGTAGGTAACACTATCACAGTCATCTACATTGTCTATACCTATAATCTGAGAGGTTGATGCGAACAGTGTTCTTGAACTGAAACCTTGTGTTGATGGTCCTCTCCTAATGATGCCAAGTGGGAATTTCAGGATATCAATACAGCAACAATGTCCACAAAACAACTTTAGCACGTTTATCGAACTGTGCTATTAAGCTCTGACTCCACTTTCTGTATCTTGCGCTGCTGTGGATACATCTGAGCCATCTATCCTGTGTCAAGTGCCAGGTTGAGGAATTTGGCATGAGGCTTTAGTAAGAATGAGAAGGAAGGTGGTTTCCAGGTTGGAAACTCTGAACTGAGCTCCTGTCCTTCAGAAAAATTTCCAAACTTCGGTTCACAACTGGAGCTATTAGCAAGAAGCACAGGACAGAAACAGCCCATGATTGGATGAGGAATTCCTCACTGAATATATCTTCAGGTCACCTATTTTCTAATTGACTTTCTTCATGATGAACTTTTCTTCAGCTTTTTGATGGATGTTGGGGGTGTTGGGTTAATCTTTGGAGCTTTCTACCCTAGAAGGCTGTGGAAGCTCGGTTGTTAAGAATGTTCAACAAGATATATTTTTATTTACTGAAAACATCAAGGGTACAGAGATAATACAGCAATATAGTCCTGAAATAGAAAAATCAGACATGATTTCATTGAAAGGCTGGGAGGGTTCATAGGACTGAATGACCTATTCCTTCTCCTACTTACAGTCATAGAGCTTTTGAGCATAAAAAGAGACCCTTTGGCCCATCATGTCTGCACCAGTCATCAAACACCTATTTACTCTAGTCTCATTTTCCAGCACATGGTCTGTAGTCTTGTAAACTACGGCACTTCTCATGTTCTTTTCAGACATATGTGTAATTTAATTGACCACTCACTTTTGGTTACCCTTGAATATCTAGCACCTGACTTGAGGCTTTTTTTTATTATTCATTCATGGGATGTGGATGTCACTAACTGAGCTGATATTTATTGCCCATTCCTAACTGTCCTAGAGAAAGAACTGGTGAACTGTCTTCTTGAGCCATCATCTGCCGTCTATCTGTGTAGGTATACCCGCAATGCTTTTATGGAGCCAGTTCCAGGGTTTTGACTAGGCACAGTGAAGAAATGGCAATAATAGTTCTATGTCAGTATGGTGTGTGACTTGGAGGGGAGCTTGCAGGTCATGGTGTTCCATGAGTCTGTTGCTCTTGTCCTTCTAGGCAGTAGAGGTCACAGGTTTGAGAGGTGTATCTAGACATCCTTAGTGAGTTACAGCAGTACATTTTGTAGATGGTACACATTGCTGCCATTGTGTGTTGGTGGTGAAGGGAATGAATGTTGAAGGTGTTAGATGGGATTGTCAGACATTTTAAGAGATTTAATGGACAATGGCAAAGATATACCAAAGAAAGGAAAATATTCTAAAGCTCAAGTCCCACCTCCTTGGGGGTGTGTCATAACATGTCAGAACAGGTTGATTAAAATGAATTTGCAACACACACTGAGGCCCAAAGACCTATTGTAGCACCCCATTAATGCTGTCATTAATAATAATTAATTCAGCACTAATCAGACTGGGGATATTTCTGGTCTATACAGCCTAGTATCACACTTTGTGTAGTGACATGATATATTCTAATATTTCAGCCCAGATTTTTGCCACATCTAAAGCGTGGTGGCAAAGTGGGAGTTCTGGGAAATCTTACGTCGCACTGTGGCATTTCCCATTTGCAAGGGCGGGAACAGAGTCAGTTTGGGATGTGTTCATTTGTGGCTTACAGGGGCAAATGGCCACTTAAATCATCAGCTGTCTTTATTAGTATGTGATTTTGGTGCAGTAAGTGTCCAAAACCTTAAATTGCAGATTAGACCATGTTGTAGCAAATCCGAAGCTTGTGGATTTGTTTGGATAGCCAGAGTACTGTTTAGGATCTAGTCTCAGAACACATTTTGGAAAGGTAACAAAAACAAAGTTGCTGGAATTGCTCAACAGGTCTGGCAGCATCTGTGAAGGAAAAAACAGAGTCAACATTTTGGATACGGTGGCATTTAACATATAAACTGATGTTTTCCCAGCCACCATCAGTTCTGAGGAAGGGTTACCGGACCCGAAATGTTAACTCGGTTTTTTGCTTCACAGATACTGCCAGACCTGTTGAGCAATTCCAGCAACTTTGTTTTTGTTCCTGATTTACAGCATCCGCAGTTCTTTCATTTTGTATTTTGGATAGGTAAACTGCCCTTTTGTTGAGGTAAGGCATCCTTTGTGAGAAGTAAGACACCTTTTAGAAGAGGTAAGGTACCTTAGGGAGAGGTCAGATTTCTAAAGCAATTGTTAAAAGTAAACATGCAGGTGCAAGAAGTAAAAAATAAACATAATGGGATTGTCAAGCTGGCAGAGAACTGTTAAAGATGTTCAAGAACTGTTAAGTCATCAAAAAATTTGCTAAGACAGTCAAAGTATTTAAACTCTAGGCCTTTTAATCTTTGAATAAAGTATCAGCAGAATTAAAAAGAAACTATTGCTTTCTATTCATGAAGTCTGTTGACATTGCCCTGAGGATTTCTATGACTACATTCGTGCAGCATGACAGAATTCACATGGATCTATTATCACAGCAGGGTGCCTTCCATTTCACCGTTTGATTTAGGGCCACAAGTGGTGTTAGATTTTGATGTGGGACTATGAATTCCATTACTTATTGCACTTGAATGAAATTTTATTGAGGTAGATGAATTTAAATGTAGTAAACATGTTTTAAAAGAATTAGAGTGTTTATTTTTAAAGAACAAAGTCTGCAATGCACTTACTTTATTTAACAGACTTTAATTTTTCTCAACCGTGTATGTATCCAGAGCACTGCCCATGGTTAATATTGGTGAGTTGGCATAGTAGATGAAAGAATGGAATGTGGGAGGCATGGTTGACATGTGTTCAACTAAGTTGCCATCAAGACTATAAGGGGTCAGGAATGAGTACAGGGACTTAGGTGGCATGGAAGATATGGGGGGGCAGTGATGCCATTAAGTGGCATCATTTGGTATGGATGGAGTATAGGGTGTGAGGGATGAAGGCTGGGAAATGTGATCATTCTTTTTCTTGAACTTTGAACATGTACCAGAGTCCTCAGCCAGACATTTTGCCCATCTTGCCTGTGCACTGGGCATCCTCTTCCAGTGTTCCAGACCAGCTGCCCTCTCTTAATATCCAGCATGCACTTGCCATTCACAGAAAATGGAAAGTTCAGGCAGCCATTTTTAAACATCAGGATGGTGCAGACAGGAATCTTTCTCTTTCTGTGATAAAATCCAAGAATGAAAATCAGGGCCTTTCTTCATCACTAGGATTTTGCTTTGAATCTTGCCTTGGATCCTGCCCAGGGTCATTGAAAGTCTACTTTCTCTGACTACCCCAAAGAACATAAGATAAATGAACTTGTTTGTTTCAGTGGAAATGGATCTTCGGCGCAAAATTGGCCATTCTTTAGCTTTAGATTGGCAAAATAAATCTGGCACCATGATTACATTATTGACCAACTAAGCATTAGACTGATGGTCCCAAGGGATGATTTCAAATCCAACCCCAGCACCTACAATTAATTAAAACCAATTTAGTATGAAAAAGTTAGTTCAGTAACAGTGATCATGGGCAGAATCCTACAGGGACCTGAACAACATAAGCTATTAAGAAAAAAGTGGCAGAATCATGCTGGTGAGACCTACCTTGACATTAGGACCATCTAAGACCATTTTTTATGCTTCCAGCAAGCAGTGAAGGGGAGTTTCTCACCAGGTAGCGGCAAATTGCTAATTAAGGTGGTGGACGCTGGTACGATTACAATTAAAAGGCATTTGGATGGGTGTTATGAATAGGATGGATATAGAGGGATATGGGCCAAATGCTGGCAAATGGGGCTAGATGTATTTAGGATATCTGGTCAGCATGGACGAGTTGGACCAAAGGGTCTGTTTCCATGCTGTATATCTTTATGACTCTAAGGGGGATTATAGCTTGTTAAATGCCTTAGTGATGGCACAATTCTAATATTCATATTCCTATCTTATCAAGTGTGCTGAACAAACAAGATGTCAAATTTCTTGACATGGATGTCAGAGCACATACCTGATGACTTCAGCTCAGCCTCCATATTGGTTACAACCAAATAACGTCTCAGGGAACAATCCATGGGCACCAGCTGCACATACCCCTTGTCCGCATACATTGGCAACTGGCATTTATCACGATCCTCAAGAATCCCCTCTGATCCACTTGTAGGATGCTTGAGAAGCACAAAACTGCACTACGGGGCACACCAGTACCATTTAGCATTGAAAGGCTAAGGGAAGGACAGGCACCCAGCTTGGATCAGCTATATCTCAGGAATGACTGCTTGCTGTTTTTGCGCTCAATCACTTAGTGTCCACCTGCACTTTCACAGCATCCGTGTTTTGCCTTGCCATGCCAATTAATGTAGTCACATGACCAGGCAACTTGTGAGGCAACAGTCCTCAGTCAAGCGTGCATGGACATCTTGCTGTATAGCAGTGTGCTACATCAATCCCACGCCTGCACCATGTGCCAGTAGATTATGCAGCAAACACACTGCATGTCCAGCAAGCAATCAGCCATGTCTCAATGTCTTAGGGGTGTATTCCTCACTGAAGTCCACTAATGCCCATCAGTCAGAGGTTCTGCCACAATAAGTCAAGGGTAGCCACTGCAAGATATCAATCATGCTCAGGTGTCCAGTTGGGGGTGATCTCAGTTTTGGGGTCCATGTCTCTGTAGTCTGGGGAATAGGTCATGGTACTGTGGCCTCACAGTTGCCAATCCCAGAGGTAAGGCCAATGCAATCAGAGAGATATACAGCCACCAGTCAGAGGTCTGGGTATTTCTCATCCAGGGGATTTCCATCAAGGTGGGAAGGCACATCAGGTCCATCCACAGAAACTAAGGGAAAACGCTGGTGGTGTGGGAGTGGGGGTTGTGTGGACAAGGGGGTCAGCCACCGTAGAAAGGAGACTCGGGAACCTATTAATGGGGATTGGGGGCTGCAGGCTGGGGGTGGGGACGAGCAAGGGGAAATTACACTTATGAATGGACCAACTGTATCCGTAAGGGGGATTTTGGTAAAGCATGGATGACAATGGGTTAATGTGGGATGGGGAGTCAGGAGTAACATGCTTTTAAGAGGGGGACAATGTAGAACCACACTTGTCATGGTCACTGCATATTCCAGGGGCTGGGGTGGGCAGCTGGAGGCTCAGGTCAATGGTTGGATATTTTTCTATTCCCTCTTCGGATGTGGGAGTCACTGGCAAGCCAGTATTTATTGTTTGTAGTTGCCCTTGAGAAGGTGGTGGTGAGATGCCTTCCTGAACCGCTGCAGTCCATGTGCTGCAGTTATACCCACATGCCTTTAGGAAGGGAATTCCAGGATTTTGACCCAGCGATAGTGGAGGTGGGACCCTCAGGAAGTGTGAAGCCGACCTTTCAGGAAAGGGATCCGAATATTTGACACCTCACCAACACAGAGGCGAAGCCTTAAAGCCACTGGATAAAAAGTAATCATTGATGCCTTCCATCATGCTGGAAATTGAAAGTATGCAACGGGGAAGAAAATGGTTACAAACACCACCAGAATGGGCAGGATAAGTCTCTTGACCTCTGAGAGAGGGGGCTACCAGACTCAGTGATGTAAGGGCTTTTAGAGGAAACATTGCACACAGATCAATGCACTACACAAGACACAGGCCCCCGATCCTCGGCCATCCTAATGCATTGGGTCCCTGTGTACTTGAAACTTCCCTGCCCCAGACATTGCTGACAACTTCATTCACACCAATACATTTGGACACAGAGACCAGGGAATGAGTAGGATGCATTTATGAGGGGCAATGGTGTCAGTAGAACCCATTGCCCTAAATACAGTCTGTTCATATTGTTTCCACATGCTGCAGTAGGATTTCAACATGGACATCATGCCACAGTGTATCCTGTATGGGCATGAAGTTAGGTATCACGCTGGCACAGTTACATTTGGGGCTATACAGGGAATTAAATGAACAGACGTATTGCAAAGTGAAGGAAATTTATACAAATGTGATACTCCATATACAGCGCGATAGTCATGCCACCAAAGTGCCATCAGAAGTTGTTTTTTCCTAGTTCCCTCCCTGTACATCTTGGTTTTGTCCGGGTTCCAAAGTTGGGGTTTTTGGAGTCTGCTTGCCGTCGGAGCCCATTGGCCCTGGAAGTTTCTTTGGGCACCTCTCAGCCACTTGTGTTTAGATTAGCTGTGACATGCTGAGGGTCTTCTAGCGAGAGGGTCAGAGGGGGCAGGCAGGGGGGAGATGAAGGCACGGCCACCTCTAGATTGTCCTGTGTGGAGGCCTGTGTGTGGTTCCTCCAGCTTCCTCCTGCCACTGCCGTACGTCCTTGCAAGGAAGGTGCACCATTGGAGTGCTCACCATGTTCCCTGTCCCTTTGCGTTCAATCTTGAGAACCAGTGGTTGGGACAATGGAGTGTAGGTGGATGTGCCTCTCCAACTGACCTTGAGGGTGCTGGACCTGGTTCTCCATGTCAACCAGCAACCTGTCCATGGAGGCAGCCAGCTGATCCCTTGCTTGAGGCCGCTGGGTCCCCACTGCATAGCTGCAGTCCTGCAGCCTCTGGGCTATGAGGGCCATTGTGTGCCACATAACCTTTCTGACCCTCCTGCCTCATCCAGCGCATTTGGATGAAGTCCTTGATTGTCAACTCCTGTGTGGGGCTGAGCAGGTGACTGGTCTCCTGCAGTCCTCTGAGTGCTGGCAGCCAGCAGTGTTTCTTCCTTGACCAGCTGAAGGGCTTTTGTAGTGAGCTGTTCACTAAATTGGGGTCTCACACTTTTCAAGCCTGGTGTTCTCACTAAGGTGTCCGTTCAGGTCTGTGGTGTGGGAAGGTAGCCTAGCTGATACTTTCTCTGATGCTTTGGTATTCTTGTCTGCAGAGGCTGAGCAGGGGCTTCTAGGGGAAGAAGCTATGGACATCCCACTGATACCTGCAAGAAACAAGAGAGAGAAGGTGTGAGACCAGTGGTTAGAAGTGGTGTGCAATGAGTGTCACTGACAGTGGAGCTAATGTGAGAGTTGTAGTGGAACGAAGAATGTACTTACTTTGTTGGCAGGACACGGATATCTCTGCATCCCTGCAGGAGTGGTCTTGATCTTCTCCTGTGAGGGCCAGGATTCTCTCAGAGGGAGTGAAGAGCCTGATGTCAAGCACGTATCCACCCAGCTGGGTCTTTCTGCCCTAGTGTGTGCTGTCTTCTCCTCTAATGACAGAAGCAGAGGGATTGGATGATATAAATGTGGGTGGCATATCTGTTAGTGCTTGTGCATGCCATCATAAGGTGGCGTGCTGCCCTGATCAAGTGAGTAGATGTGCAGAGGCCAAACAGGGTAAGTGGTCTGGAATACTGGAGGATGGTGAGAACAAGTGAGGGAGGATGTTGCAGGCAATTGTGAGAGTTGCAGAATATGACCCAAAGCAGGATGTGGGTGCTGTGGCAGAAGTAGAGTGAGTATGAGGAAGCAGAGGAAAGAGCGTGACACAGAGCTGGCAGAGCAGAGAAGGTCACTGGCCTTCTTCAGCACTGTTGGCTGTTCCTCTGAACCTTGGGTTCTGCACTGACCCGAGTGGTCACCTCGGAGTAAGCTGCTGGGGTCTGCTGGTCCTCTTCAGTACCACCCCTCCACCAGGACCTTATGGTGTCTGTTGGACAATTACGATGTCATCTTACACTTCTCCAACATCTTCAAAAAGACTGCTGCCAAGCAGAGCAGCCTTGGAACGCTAATGCTTGTCCTGGGTCCTATATGTAACTTCAGACTCATAACAGTGTGGTTGATTCTGAAAACACCCATTAAACCATTTGAAATAACTCCACAGAGGCTGGTATCCTGTCAATAAGTCACCCTCTATTTACACATGGAGAGTCTTTGACACTGATCCAGCTCCGTCAGAGCCAGCACTCAGAGTGAACAGAACCTCTGACCCTCTTGTTTTTATCTATCAGCCGGGGCTCCCTGATTGGACCAGATTAACTGCCCCAATCAGGGAACTCATATTCTATGAGGTCCACCTAGCTGACCTTGTTACATCCCTCCCCGTCTGAGCACATAGGCCGGTTCTTTCTTTTTGTAGCTTCTCCTGGGGTATTTTAGCACTGCATCAGATTCCTCCGAATCTGCCTTGATATGGGCGGCATGTAATGCTCCAGAGCTTGCCTCATGCTGCTGGAACATCTTGGAAGAACTTCATTCTTTTCGTTGAGCAGCAACGACGTTGAGGTGGCAACAACCACTGTGTCCATCTCAGATTCAAAAGTAACTTTAATGCTTGACGGAGAGGGAGAATCCATGGGTTCCGGAACAGCTGAAAAGGTTATCGAGGAGCCGGGCACATTTTGCGAGTTTACACCTTTCATATGGTCCACATGCTTGTTCAGGACTGTCGCACCTACCCAAACTTTATACGTCACTGGACCTGACCTCGCTCGACCATGCCTCTTAACCATGTAGGGCCATTCCCCATTCCCATGGTACACCAAACCTTGTCCCCTGAAGTAAAGTGTTCCTCCCGCTTCGCAGAATCTCGTGTCTGGCATTTGAGTCCTGATGCCTTTTCACTCCTCCTGCTCTTCCCCTCCCCAACATAGGTCTGGGAAGATCAGATTTGACGAGGTGCAGAGTCTTCTCCCCATTAGTAGCTTTGCTGGAGCTATCCATGTAGTTGCATGAGAGGTGGTTCTATAATCAAATAGGAACTGGGACAATTTGGTATCTAGTGAAGTTATAGGCTGTTTCTTCAAGCCTGTCTTCAAAGTTTGGACTGAACTTTCTGCCAGACCATTGGTTGAAGGATGGTATGGAGCCGTACTTATATGACAAATACCATTCAAATTTAGGAAGTACTCAAATTCCCTGCGAGTAAAAGATGTTCTGTTATCTGTGACTAATACTTCCGGGAATTTGTGTATTGCAAAGATGCGCGCAGTTTTTCTATTGTTGTCCCCATGTTTGATGAAGGAACTCAATGCACTTCCAGTCAGTTTGAATGGGCGTCCACAAAGATGAAGAACATTGAGCCCATGAAAGGACTTGCATAGTCAACATGTAACTGAGTCCAGGGTTTACTCGGCCATTCCCACAAACGTACGGGAGCTGCTGGTGGTAGTTTTTGTCCTTGTTGGCACTCTGAACACTGCCCTACCAATGTGGCTATGTCTGCATCCAATCCTGGCCACCAGAAATAACTTCTTGCCATCAACTTCATTTTGGAAACCCCTGGATGACCCTGGTGGAATTCAGCCAGTAATCTGGTGTCAGTCTTTGCTCAGGACAATCACTCTTGCTCCCCATAATAATATGCCATTCTCCACTGTGATCTGGTCTCTCCCGGCCCTTTGGTTTTCTTCACTGCCAACAGCTGTTTCAGTTTTGCCAGGACCGGATCTTTCTGTATCCAAAGTCTGATATTGTCAGTCACGGGTGGAAGACTGACCAGCAAATTTAAAACCATTGCAGACTCTTCCAGTGGTGATACCGCTGGCAGTGTATCTGCCAGTGAGAGGCAGCTCAATGCATCCGCATTTGCTACTTAGCCTCCCGGACAGTGTTCCAACTTGCACTTGGTATTAGATCCCACCGCTGAATTCACCAATAGCTTTCCCTGCACTGCGTTGTCCTCTTTACGTAGACCGAGCAAGGGTTTGTGGTCTATTATTATTACAAATTTACTTCCATAAAGGTATTGATGGAACTTCCTGACTCTAAATGTGACTGCCAAACCTTCCTTCTCTATCTGGGCATATTTATGCTCTGCATTAGCAAAAGTCTTAGATGGATACATTACTGGGCGTTCCTTTCCATTAGGCCACCTATGAGCTAATGTTGTATGGGGAGGCATTGCATGTCAATATATCAGATCTCACTTGGGATCATAGTGTGCTAACACCTTAGAGGATGATAGCTGTTTCTTTACTTCCCTAAAACTATGGCTTGGCTATGCGACCATTTCCAAGGCTGACCCTTTCTTAGGAGTTGATGTAAAGGTGCCAGGATGGAGTTTGGGTTATGTATGAACTTTCTGCAATAATTCACCAGCTGCAAGAAAAGACCTAAACTCTGGTACAGATGTGGGAGCTGGGGCACCTTTGATCGCCTGACTTTATCTTCCAATGGGTGTAACCTAGTCTTGTCAACTCTGTAGCCTAAGTAGTTCACTCGGGGTGCCTGGAACACACATTTTTTCCTTCTAAGGCATATGCCTGCTTGGGAGAAATGTCTAAAGACTATGTCTAAGTTCTCTAAGTGCTCCTTATTGGTTTCCTTGTTATTAGTACAACATCTTGATAAATGGTGACCTGGGGTAGACCTCGTAAAATGTTCTCCATCATCTGCTGAAAATTTGCCCCAAATGGCAGTCTCATATATTGGTTACCCTTATGGGTATTAATTGTAGCATACACTTCTAACTGCAGTTGCAAATATGCATGATTCCATGATTATCGTACAAATCCTCTCTGCAAGGGATTGGGTACTTATCCAGCTGCGAGAAGCAGTTTATCATTGCTTAAAATCCCCACAAAGGTAAACCGACCCATCGGGCTTCACAATCAGTACAACTGGTCCTGCCCATTCTCCAAACTGGGCTGGTTTGATGATTCCTTCGCTTTCCAGCCTTCTGATTTCTGCATCTACTTTTGCCCGTAAAGCAGATGGATTGGCTGGGCCTTGCAGAATCATGGAATTGCTTCCTGGTCAACGTGCAGGGTGGCCTTGGCTCCTTTGATAGTCCCTTGACCTTCCTGAAAAACGTCTGGGTATTTAATTAGGACTTCACTCAGGCAGCCATTTTCTAATCGAAAAACATTGAGCCAATCTCGGTAAATCTCTCTTAACCAATTTCACCCGATCAAGTTTGAGCCCAAGCCTTTTACTGCAATGATCCACCTTCTTCTCATAAGAGGCCAGAATTGAAGTTGTACCCTTCATGTGTAAAGGCTCCCCAATATAATTTCTCAGTCTAGCCAAGGTCTTGCGCACACATAAAAGTTGGAGTCTGGAGCGAATTTTGTTAAAGACTGCTTCTGCAGTGGCCATGCTGATATCAACCTCCATTAGAACTGGGTGACCATTTAACCAGATGTTTATTTTGATTGGTTCTAATTTGGATGTTGCTAAGCAATTTAGTGGTTCCATACCAGATGTAGCTGGACTTTCCAGCATGTGCACTCTCCTGGATACTGGCCTATGAGTTCTCTTACTCAGTTTAGGTTTAGTGGGACTCTTCCGCTGTCTCAAGTCTGCATACTAGCAGCAACCACAATGGGTTGCCGGCCTTGGTACTCAAGAAAATTTTAACCGTTTGGCCAAGGTTTGGCTTTGTTTTTGGGTTTTACTGTGGGCTGACCTGAAGTTCCTCTGTTCAGGATGTGTCCTGAGTAAGTCTACGCAATTGCTTTCACCCAAGTGGTGTTTCCCAAGCTCAGTCAGCGTGGTGAGGGTGTCCACTTCCATCAGAATACCCTGTAACCCACATGCTCCACTTGCCGTATTTTCCAACGATAAAACCAGTTATAGTGCCCGTTTGAAGTCGAGTTGAGCTTCAGCTATTAGGCACTTTTGCAGGGTTAAACCGTTACTCTTACTCTCGTTGCCACTGAAATAACTCCACAGAAACCAATAACCCGTCACCAAGTTACCCTCTATTTACAGTGGAAAGTCCTTGACACTGATCCAGCTCCCTCAGATCCAGCTCTCAGCATGAACAGGATGTCTGATGCTCCTGTTTTTATCTGTCAGTCAGGATTTCCTGATAACTCATATTCTATGAGGTCCACCTGGCTGACCTTGTTACAATCACTATACCATTCATTTGTAATTAAGAACCAAGTTCACTTCCATCTTTTTAAGGGCAATAGGTAATAATTGTTGGCCTTCCCAGCACCATTTACATGCTGTGAATGAATTACAAAGAATGGCCAATGTAAAAATTGGAAGGTTATACAGTGCTGTCTCGAGAGAATCTTCTCAATTTGAGGTGTTTAGGCACGTAAAGGGAATTTGATGCTGTCAGATTCTTCCAATGTTTGGTTGGAGGGTACTCAGTGCTGGAAAGAAGAGCTCAAATATACAATTGCCAATCCTAAATTCTTTCACTTTTCTTTAGAAGAGGAAATCTCATCTTTCCCTCCCAGCAGATTCATTTAAATCATATTGATAACTTTGTAAGGATACTTACAGAATAAAATTGGATGCAATGGAGTGGATGTGTGTCAGATCAGGAAAGAATCCTATTCCAGTATTACAAATGCTCCTGGTTTAAGAAAATAATTATGAATTGATATTCATGTCATTACTTAGGGGAAGTTAAAAGAAAAACACTCATGAACACACAAAGTACAATAATACGGTTTAATTTTAACTTCTATGTGGCCTCAAAATATTACAAAAATACACGGTTACAAAAATGAAAGAAGATACATGCAATGGGAAATACCTTTAACGAAATTCCTAAATTAAGGCAATAGCAAGTATTGTTTAAAATTCACCTTTCTTTAAGGAGGTATTCTCATGTTTAGAAAAAGCATAACACTGCAGATGTTGGAAATAGAAACAGAAAATGCTAAAGAAACTCAGTAGGTTTGGCGGCCTGTGTTTCAAGTTTGTGGGTGACATGATTAATCAGTGATTAGCACTACTGCCTTACACAGCCAGGAACCCAAGTTCAATTCCAGCCTTGGGTGACTGCCTGTGCGGAGTTTGTACATTCTCCCTGTGTCTGTGTGCGTTTTCTCCAGGTGCTCCGGTTTCTTCCCACAGTCTAAAAATGTGTAGGTTAGGTGGATTAGCCATGAGTAACAGGGATAGGGTAGGGGATGGGTCTGAGTGGGATGCTCTTTGGAGGGTCTGTATGGACTCAATGGGCTGAATGGCCTGCTTCCACACTTTAGGGATTCTATGAAGTCTGATTGTGACTTTCTGAAGATGAGTCAAACTGGACTTGAAACATTAAATTTGTTTCTCTCTGCACAGGAGGCTGCCAGACCTGCTGAGTTCTTCCAGCTTTTTCAGTTTCTTTATCTCACATTTGGTGTTATTTTCCCTCTCTCTAATGACTTAGCTATTTATCATTGAAGGAATTAATACTATTCAGCTGATATCATGTCCAGCAGCATCTTCAAAGGAAATTTCACAAAGCAAAACACTCCCTATCTTGGAACAAAATGTTTTTGCACCGACATTGTACCATATTAGCCATCAATCCTAATTTTCTTTGAAACTGCTTGCAGACCTCATGAAGAATGTTAGAAAATACAGCAGTATAGCCAAGTTCCATCAGCATCTCTCACATCATTGCAGGTTCTTAATTTTAGAATGTGCAATTATCCCCCATGACATTTCACACCCTCTTACATTAGACGTCTTTGGTCACAATGCTCAATTTTCCTCATTACATTTTGTACTGTATCATAATATGAGACAAAGCTAATACTCGCCTAGAATGAAATGCGTTGATTAGGATGCCAGCATGAATTTATACAAGGTAAATCATGACTGACCAACTTAATTCAGTTTGTTTGAAGGATATTAATGACTAAGTGAAGTAGATTTCAATATATATGAGTTCTCAAAAACATATTTTATAAGGGACAATATAATAGACTTCCTGACAATATTAAGATACCTGCAATTAAACCAAATATATCATGGCATGGATAAGGAAGTGTTTATTTATAGAAAATATAGTGTGGTAGTTAGACAAAAGAAAATTGTATTTACATTGTGCCTGTAAAGTAATAGGATGTTTCAACATCTTTCACAAGTCTATTAGAAAACAAAACTTGGCACCCAGCCATGCATGAAAATGTACAGCAAATAACCAAAAGCTTAATCAAAGAAGCAGGCTTTGACAACCAATTCTTAAAGGAGGAATTAAGAGACCAGAATAAGATGAGCATTAATATCTTGGAGGGGTGTGATGCTATATGAGATAACAGGCAAGAAGCAGCACGATCATAGAAAATATTGAAAACAACATGGAGAACTTTCAAAAAAACATTGCTTAAGAAACTACTGTCGGTAATGAACGCAGGGATGATAGGTGAACAAGACTTGGGGCTACTTAGGGCAGGCGCAGCAAAGTTTCCAATAGCTCAGTTTTGTGGGGGTAAAATATTGGAGGCTGACCAAGTGTATATTGGGATAGTTTTGTTTCCAGGTTGCAATGTTATAGAAGTGGAAGTAGGTGGTCTTTGTGATAGGACCAATGTGTGTTTAGAAGCGCATCTTGGGGATCAGAAATGACGCAAGTTTGTGAACAGCCTGGTTCAGCCTCAGCTGGTTTACCAGAGAGAGGGATGCAGTTGGTGGCTAGGAAATGGAATTTGTGGCAAGGCCCAAAGACAACAAATTAAGGCTCTCCAATGCTTAGATGGTGTAAATATTTGTCATTCAGTGTTAGATGTCGATAACTAGTCTGACTATTTAGAGATAACAAGGTGTAGAGCTGTATGAACACAGCAGGCCAAGCAGCATCAGAGGAGCAGGAAAGCTGATGTTTCGGGCCTAGACCCTTCTTCAGAAATGGGGGAGGGGAAGGGGGTTCTGAAATAAATAGGGAGAAAGGGGGAGGCGGATAGAAGATGGATAGAGGAGAAGATAGGTGGAGAGGAGACAGACAGGTCAAAGAGGCGGGGATGGAGCCAGTAAAGGTGAGTCTAGGTGGGGAGTTAAGTAGGGGATAGGTCAGTCCAGGGAGGACGGACAGGTCAAGGGGGCGGGATGAGGCTAGTAGGTAGGAGATAGGGGTGGGGCTTGAGGTGGGAGGAGAGGATAGGTGGGAAGAAGGACAGGTTAGGGAGGCGGGGACAAGCTGGGCTGGTTTTGGGAGGGGGAGGGGAGATTTTGAAGCTTGTGAAATCCACATTGGTACCATTGGGCAGCAGGGCTCCCAAGCAGAATATGAGGTGCTGTTCCTGCAACCTTCGGGTGGCATTGTTGTGGCACTGCAGGAGGCCCAGGATGGACATGTCGTCTGAGGAATGGGAGGGGGAGTTGAAATGGTTTGCAACTGGGAGATGCAGTTGTTTAGTGCGAACTGAGCGAAGGTGTCTTGCAAAACCGTCCCCAAGCCTCCGCTTGGCTTCCCCGATGTAGAGAAGGTCACAACAGGAACAGCAGATACAGTATACCACATTAGTAGATGTGCAGGTGAACATCTGCTTGATGTGGAAAGTCTTCTTGGGGCCTGGGATGGGGGTTAGGGGCGAGGCGTAGGGGCAGGTGTAGCACTTCCTGTGATTGCAGGGAAAAGTGCTGGGTGTGGTGGGGCTGGAGGGGAGTGTGGAGCGGATAAGGGAGTCTCGGAGAAAGTGGTCCCTCAGGAAAGCAGATAAGG